CATCGTTATCACTCCCGCTGAATCACAAGGAAGGAAAAGGGGGGTGGATTTAAAACGGTGCTTGTAAGAGTTTGTTGATCTGCTGCTGCTGTGCAAGCGACTACATGATGTAATACACAGTAACACAGATGACTGTGGTATCAAGTTAAATAACTTCAAACTAACAAATACAATAATCATCTCAGGCCTCAGCATTTCACATGAAAAATAAGTTATTTTTAAAACGAGGCTCCTACCTCCTTTCATCCTAAATAGATTATATTTACACTACTTCAGTAAACTTATTTTAAGCATTGTGTGGTATTTAAAAGACAATGAGCAACATAAAAGCGAATTTTCAATTCTTCCATTCTTCTTTCTTATCCTGTAATGATTAAAAAATACTCAAATCGATACAGAAAACACATCCAAGTTTCCCACACCTGCTCATTGCTCAAAACTTGCTTCTTTTCTATAATAGATTATCGATTTGGTTGCTGTCTCCTAACCTGTATTGCACTCTAACCATGCACCTGATGTTATGTAACACAAAGGACTGCAAAGGATTAATCCAGAGATATTACAGATGGGCAAACATGCCATTTACCCATCCTATTGTGTCCAGGTTTCATCTACAGTCAAACATCATGTACAGGCAAATAATCAGACACAAAAACATTATCCAACTGTTTGGGCACAAACAGAAAAAAAATATCTGTCACAGGATGCACTACTTGTTTTTTCCCATCTCCCAGGCAGGTCATTAGAAAGTTCTTTATAAAGACTCTTTTACTTAAAGCTTTAAATGAAGATACTTAATTCACTGGGAGAAGAGATGGCACTTCAGGCAAGAAGCAAGAAAATAAGTGTAGGAGTATGCCAAGGGAGTTGTTAAGAGAATGGTTCAAGAGGAGTGAAGGGGGTGGAAGTGTAGGAAGAGACAAGAACAGACGTAGGCTGAAACCTTAAGAGTTTGAGTAAGAGTTTGCATTTCTGCAAACTCAATATACCAGACGTAAAAAGTGATGGGGGGATATGATACTAGAGATGCTACGGAGGAAGGCAGGAATGGTGGCAATTTGGTTGGATTTCACAAATCAATCAAATCGAAGAGGAAAAAGCTATTTTGCCTGCGGCAGCACTAAGACAGAAAGATACTCAAGCGTAACCAGAGGGATCAGAACCAAGAAGAATAAAAGAATAAAAAGAAAATAAAAAAGAAGAAGAAAACCATCAGGTGAGTGGAGGTATCAAAACATGCAGAGAGAACTGCTCTCCAGTCACAAGCAGAAGTACAAACCACATAATGAAAACTGCTCCAGAAAAACATTTTAAACAAAGTTCTCCAGCAACCAAAAACAAGGATGAGAATCTACCTGTTGGGACTCTTGAAAAAAAAAAACATTGTGGGGAACAATTTAATTAATTCCTTCTCTGTTTACATAAACTGCAAACCAAGCAACTGTTTTCAGACGAACTTACGTTACAGGCACAACCCAAACATGACAGTGGTCTACCCTGGAGCGTGTAAACTGGAAACCAGAAGGGAGATGCATGTTCCAGCAGCACGCTGAGCTATGTGTCAGCAGCCACCCGTTTAGGCTATGCACCGAGTTACAAAGACACGCTCTTTTGCTGCCTCCATGAGGAGATCCAGGCGCATTGTCACAGACTGTAAAATATTTTCTGGCAGACCACTGGCGGCCTGAACCTTCATACTCCCTAGGGATGTTGCCAGTGAATGGATTCCACAAAAGAGGAAAATAAATAGTATCAGTTTTAACAGCAACCGACTTGCAAAGTGTTATTTAGTTTATTGGGGAAAAAGAAAATAACGTATACCTTTACTGTTAACAATATATTCTATTTTATTCTCGTTATATGGAAAAGAAAAACCTTTAGGAAGAATTTTATATGTAATAGACACATCAGTAAACACATCTAGTGCAGGGAAGAGAGCAATCACCAACCAAAACACAGTATATAATACAACTAACACAAGAACCCTTTTTCTTAACGAAAAACGGCATCAAGTCTGTCATATTCTTCAGGCAATCTCTCTCTATAGCAAGCAGTCCACTCACGGAAGGTCAGAATCTAGTTATGCTATTAAAAAAAAAAAAAACATCAGGCAACCTACTGGGAAAGGCATACACTACAATATGGAACAAAAATTCCCATCTAGGTCACTCCCTTACATCACAGAATCCTTGAGACCACCTAGTCCAACCTTCTGCTCAAGCAGAGACACAGAGCAGGTCACCATATCCACCAAGTAATTATAAAGAATAAAATATGCACAAAAAAGTATCTTTTAAGTAACTCGAAGCATGTACTTTATCAAATGGGGCACTACTTGTTTGTTTGGGTTTTTTAACTGTCTCCATAGAAGAAAAACAGGGACTAAGTGCTACTTCTACCATGTGCTGTTCCGGAGGTATCTCTGCAGTGCCTGCAGATAGAATTGCTTCGGATTCTAACACATCTGGAGAGGGACCCTATATGACTGCAGTCAAAGCAGGACTGTGAACAGCTTTTTTATACTGAGCATGCACGCTGGTATCACTGCCGAAAAAGAAACAGGCTATATGTGTTTTTGTGAGAGAGGTCGCACAGAAGGCAATATTTCATAAGGTTTGAAATACAGTTTATAGAAAAAACGACTCACTTGCCACCCCAGCTGCAATTCCATAAAGTAGTCCTCCTCCATCCGTTTGCTGCTGAAAGATATGGGTCCCTGGCGGAGGGCTTCTTTCTTGTCGAATGAAATTATATAGTAAAGTTTTCACAAGCCTGCTGGTATACGGGAGACTGAAAAGAAAAAGAAAACAGCTTTAGTTGACTCACAATGTGCAAGAATTGGCACAATAAAGCCCAGGCAGGGTGCAAAGGCTGGTGTTTGGCATTAAACACGGACAGTAACTCTCCCGCTCTCAAGAAGACTGGAAAGGGAAAGAAGGCCAAAGAAAGGGAAAGAAGGGAAAGAAGGCCAGGTTGGATGAGGCTTTGAGCAACCTGGTGTAGTGGAGGGTGTCCCTGCCCAAGGCAGGGGGTTGGGAACTAGATGATCTTTGAGGTCCCTTCCAACCCAAACCATTCTATGATTCTATGAATGCCAAGGTCTTGCCCATGCAAAGCTGCACTAACTTCGGCAGGGCTCTGCAGGAGCACTTTCAACAGCACCATCATGGAAACTACTTCGTCTTCTTGGTTCGATACTGCTTTTAAATTAATCATTCTATTTGTGGAATCAGCATAGTCCTTTACCTCAAGACACAACTGGAAAAATATTTATGCAAGGAAAAGAAACATGACATTTGTGTAGTTTTTGCACCATGCTTTGGTTACATAGAACAGGTAACAACAGTATTTCTCCAGCCCCCATCCCAATATCTTTGTGTGTGCAGCCACGGCCAATCTGCAAAGATCAGTGAACCATCTGACCCCACAGCACTGATTCTGACAAATGGAAGCAAAATTTGTTAGATTTAAACAAAAGGTTGTAGTATTTCCAAAACAGAGGAGGATTCCCACAGAAGCAAACAGTTGGTTCCCGTTCCCCCAGGATTTAGAGGTGAACAGACAGGGGCTGTGTTATGATGAGCTCCAAGCCCCTTTAACTCCCCAACTCTTCACATGCCACCAAATTCCCACCCTTCTCTCCAGACGTCAGCTACCTGCTAATCCCAGGTAGCTACTTGCTACTCTGAGCTACTCGCTACTCCGAGCGACCTCTTAGATCATATACCACCCCTTCTCCAAAACGTTTCCCGTTTTGCTCCAAACCCTCAATTCCTTCAGTCCAGAGATTTAAGTACCACCCAACCCCACACATACTGAGGCTCTGCCTCTGCCCTGCTGCTGATTAAGTCTGGTCTGCCCTGTGCTCCCTCTGCCCGCAGCCAAGCTGAGCCTCCCTCCTCTCCCTGCGTGCCACCCCAGCGCAGCACCTCTCTCTTACATTTAGCAGAAATTTTAGAAAACCAGACAACAGACACATTTACCAAAAATGTAGCTAGATGGAACTTAAAAGAGGATGAACGGTAGACCAGCTAAAACATGCACAAGCCACCATGACAAAGATTTAAACAAAACAACCCACTCGCCAGAAGAAGTGGTGTTACTCACACAACCGAGTTTACCACCTGCTGAGTATTTCCACCTCTGCAGCTTAAAACTCAGCACAGCAATGGCAACTGTTTTGTATTTTCAAACTTTTGAGGGGCTGCTATCTGTTCGTTATCGCAAGAAGGCTCATTAGTACTTCCGAGGCACGCGGGTTCTCTAGACTGTAATGTTACAGGAAAAGACCCACAGCTGAATCAAAAACATCCTGAAAAGTAGAAGCTGTTTTAAGTAAATCACCCTCAAAAAATGAAAAAGCCTTCCAAAATAGTTTTACTGAAGTCAAGGCTGTGAGATTTAAACCTGAAACCTTCCAACCAGATATTTGCTTTGTGTTTTGGGGTTTTTCGGAGAAGAAAAAGTTTTCTGCCAAAACACATTTTGCTGTCTTTTATTTTCAAGTACAAACAGCCTAAACAAGCAATCAGAAGCATTTACTTTGCTATTAGGTACCACCTCAGAACATGACATACCATCGCCCATGCATCAGGTATTTGTGAATGATGCTCTCCCGTCGAATCTCTTTGTGAAATAATTGGCAGGACAGGAAGACGATGAGGGTTGTCACAGCTTCCAAGGAAATGCTGTATGTAATATCTCTGAAGGAAAAAAGGAAAAATAAAGATTAATCTACTGGGTTTGTTTACAAACTAACTTCCAAGAACACCTGGCAGCTTCACCTGAAGTAATATGCTGATTAGTACAGCGAGTTTCAATTAGGAACATGTAAATAAACTAAAAAAAACCCCAAACAGAATCATAGAATCACTTTGTACTAACAATGGGTTGTTTTTCTTAGACTTCAGCAATTTTTTTTTTTGATACTCCAAAAGACAACGTAAAAAACATTGAGGTATTGCGCAGAACATCCCAGCTGCAATTTTCAGACTATATTTCACTATAAAAATAACAGATACATCTCAAAAGCATGTCCTTTGTCCTGTTAAATAAAACTGTCACAAAACAATCATGCTAATCAGGGAAATGTCCAGCTAGCCAAACACAGCTCCATCTGCCAGGAAAAGCGGATCCCTAAGAAAGGAATATAATACACAAATGCTAGTTTAAGCCTAAGAAATGCTCAGGATATCGAGATACTACATGCAGTTTTTCAGTTTTTAACGGCATTTTTGAGGTAAAAATGAAGTCTAAAATTTCAAGACACTACAGCCAATCCCGAAGAACATGCTGTAATGATCAAATACTGACACCAGATAGTTTAGCGAAGCTTATTAAGTCAAGGTTAATTAGGGAAGGCTGTGCAGCAAAACAGATGAGAGAGCGATCCACTATTTGGGATATTTTGTGCTTTCTGTTCCCAGCTCTGCGTGCAATGACTTTGTTACAGATCTTATTCTTAAAAAGGGGGAGAAAAATGCCATTTGCCTCCTTAACTGGTAATAAACTGCAGACTACACGAAACTTTTTAAAGCTTCATGAAATAACTTGAACATGACCCAGTATCATTCTTCCTTTCAACCGTAGACCATTCTTACCTCCTCCAAAAGTAAGGAGATACTTTATTTGGCGAAACAGTACTGTCCTGTAATCCATTAGAGAGATTGTTGAGTACTTTTAATGTTTTTCCCACTGTTACTATTTGATTTCTACAATATGCTTCACAATCCAATATTATTCGGCTACAACAGGTGTCCAGCATCAGTTATTAAGGTTTTTTGACCTGGGACCTACTGGAAATTCAAAATCTATTCATACTTCTCAAATTCAAAGACTTTATAGTATCTCTATTTACAACTTAAAAAAAAAAAAATCACCATCAATATATGTTTAAGCAGTGATGCTAAGTTTTTATCACAACACTTTCCAAAAATTACATTCTTAAAGTTAAAACAAGTATAAACATAAAACTAAGTGCTCTTTCAAACAATGACAAAAACTACAGTGCAATCTCTCTCGAAACAAAATAAACTGATCACAGAAAAGACTGGCTGGAGTAAAACTTCATTAGTCTCAGGATCAGAACTGGTATGATCCTTACCAAAATGAATAGGATTTAGTTTGGAAGAAATCAGTCTGATTTCTAGCACACTCAAATACTCTAACATTCTCAAATGTGGTAGTAGAAATATTCTAAATAACACGCATTACTGTAAGACAAGGAAGAAGAATTTCCTGCACAGCTTAAGTCAAGCTCTTCTGCAGTAGCTCTAGGCCAGAGCTTCTGAGCAAAGGGGGTGCTAGTTACGTGCTCAAAGTCAAGAGCAAACTGGAATCACGTTTTCCTGGACCGCAGTCCTCACAACTGCACTACCTCCGAGACAAAAATGGTTTTGAAAGTGAAGGCTATGCAAACTTACTTTTTTTTTTTCCCCTCTCAAATCTCTTAAATCTCTCCCATGATTTAAATACTTGAATCCGTAATGTTTTAAGTCATATGTCAGGAAGAGAGGTACAGCTTAAATAACATTCTTCCTTAAAATCTTCGAGTACATTTTAATTACTTTTAGCTTTTGTGAGTTACCTGACTTTCTGCCTACTTCTGAGGAAGTTAGCCAGTGTAAATGCTGATAACCAGATTAGGCCAGAGGTTACACTGTGATCTGGTTCCGCTGCAAATTCACGTCAGCCAGAAGCAAGGCTGAGCTCCCTCTCCAAAACCAGGATGCTTTGCAATCCACTACCCACATACATCCCAAGCAAAGCAGGGAAGACCTGTATGCACTAATTAATAGAAGTTTAGCTGTCAGCAAAAAGAAAAAAAAAAGAAATGTTTTTCTATCGAAATAAAAACAACAGCTCGAAAAAAATACTTTTTAGCTATAGCAAAAAAAAATAAAAATTCAGAAGCTTATCATTACCAAAGCTGAGAATACAAGAATAATGTCTCCAACTCTTAAGTTGATGAATGAAAAAGCTAACTTCATGACACAATGCAACATCCACTGGGTCACTTTTGCTGAGAGGAAACAATTTAGAGTCTAGTGTCCTGTTTCTCCATTTCAGTCATTCATTTATTTATTTTTCTAACAAACCACACAAGTAGAATAGCAAATTTGAGGAGACATTACAAAATTCTTTTCTATTTTTATAAGATTTAAGGTAAAGAAATAAACAGAGAGGTTACTGTAATGTACTAGATACTTTTTTTTTTAAGAAAAAAAAAAAACCTGCTTTCAGTACCCTTATATAACTCTGAAAGAAAAAAAACAGAAAGAAATTGAAGTTCATACAGTTCCAATTAGTGAGTTATTTTCATTTTCTTCCTAAACAAAACCCAGCAAGGGCACATTTAACTGCAGAAACATTTCACTCAACCTGCAGAATCTGTTCAGATTAAATCCGCTCTGACATAAACACAACCAGAGTCCTGATATTGGGGGTAACCCCTCAGCTATAGTCACCCTTAATTTATCATCACAAGGATAAAGCTTGAGAGCAAAATTACTTTTCCATTAAGGGTCAAATATACAGTTTTCTGGAACTCAAGCATTTCTAAAGGGTCACAAGAACTACAAGGAACCTCTTTTAACTTCAAAGAAAATACTGTTTATTTATATTGAGAGACTATAGAATAGAGGGGGTTCAGTTTTGAATTTTTTTTTTTTTTTATTCAAGGCTATCAGTCATACAGAATGACTTTACATGGAATTTATGCTGATCTCCAACTTCCTCTGAAAACTGTTTGCTTGCAGATAAGGAGGAAACTAGAAATAATGAACACATGTATCAATTATATGTCAAAATTACTTAGCTATTTATTTCAGAAAACAATAACTGCATGGTGCTTTGAGTTTCTGTGTTTGTTTCATCTTTCCTTCCCAAGCAGCTTCTAAACCAGACAAAAATCCACAGAACTCAGACAAAGCTCATGTCACAAGTAGATGGGCTTCACAGGGCAATGTACTGAAGCTTACATAGGTCATCTTTTTTTCCCCCCTCCCTCTGGATTTTCTCATTTGGACATTTCAATAGTTACTCTCATTTAACTTTTTCCTCTTTTTCTCTCTCTCCTTCCTAGTGGAGGATACATTCCCACATACGGTAGACAAGCTAACAGATATTCTTCTTTGGCTCCTCTTAAGACGTGCTTCTTTCATGAGGGAACAATCTGGCACAGACTGAGCTCTAGAAATCATGGCAATCATTCCTCTCCTGCATTTGGGTACTGGCACAGGTTGCCCAGAGGAGCTGTGGCTGCCCCATCCCTGGAAGTGTTCAAGGCCAGGTTGGATGGGGCTTTGGGCAACCTGGTGTAGTGGAGGGTGTCCCTGCCTATGGCAGGGGGGTTGGAACTGGATGATCTTTGAGGTCCCTTCCAACACAAACTGTTCTGTGATTCTATGATTCCTTATTACAAGTAGCCATCCTCCTTAGTTTCTTACACAGTGACACAACATTTCTTACCCAGTGACAAAAGGAAGTGCCTGTTTCTTTAACCAGATGGAGTAAGTCCAGGTTCTTGCACGTGACACCCAAGTTAAAACTGACTTCTGGCAACAAAGCCTTCCATATACACATTTAGTCACTAAAGCAAAAGACACTATATGTATTTGTGATTATCTTAAATTATTAATTCTTCAGAAAATGACGACTTGAGCCCCAAAGTGCATGATTCCTAGATGTTAGCATAACATAAATGAGTGTATTTAGCACGTTTCAGTATCTACATTTCAATGAGGAAACAGCTGACACATCAATGGATTCCTTCCAACAACAATGATACCACATAATTTCAACTTTAATGAATGCCTTGAAATTAAAACCAATTTGCATTGTATTAATCTGTAGACAACAACTCATGAAAATCAAACGACAAAAATTCTAGTAAGCAAGCTACGCTTTCCATCTTAATCCCTTTTGTCAAGTAGATAGCATGGATCCTGGGCTCCCCTGAGAGACCTAAGGCCCTGGGAGCACTGCTTTAGAGCAGTGCTGCATTTAGACTGCAAAGAAGCCTAATTTAGAAGAAATTAATAAGTAACTAATTCTCCCGGGATATAAACTTGAAAGGAAACCACTTATCTTCTGGTCTTCTGTCAAGAATGTACGTTTTTATTGATTTATTTTATTTATTAATTGCGATGGTGGGCTTGTAAATTCCATCAGAGCTATCAACCTTCAGGCATTTGGGGCTGGAGAACCCCACCAGACCATCTATCTCCGTATCACACCCTCGCAAGGTTTTTCTGCTTGAACTGGACCAAGGTTGCACCTTGCTCTTTTACAGACCCTTATTTCAAGTATATCACAATGCTGATACTGCACTTCAAAAAGTTCCAAACGCCTGAAAAACAGGTATATGGTCAAAACAGTAACCTTCAACAAAAATAAAAGATTTTCTTTGAGGTAGAAACAGGAAAAGAGCACACAGAAGTAGCTGGTAAAGGCAACCTGCCTGAGCAATAACTCTTCAACTGCGGTAACTTGAACACTTGACATTAATTGGTTGCACCCAGAGACAAGTGCTCACATGAAACGGTACCGCAGAGCAAACAGATGCCACACCACTAGGTTTCAAAGTAGATTTCTTCTGAGCTACAAAGAAAATGCTAGAACCTGAAGCGGAGCAAAACGTGCAGATCATAATAGCAAGGTCACCTGTCAATTGTAGACTGTAGGAAAAACACAAAAATCAAAA